ACCACATTCCATCTTAGGTAGATGCGTTTCGATCTTCTAAGAGGAATCCAAATAGATAGGGAGATAAGTTTTGATGAGCGTAGAATTGATGTTTATAGGGTGACAGACTAGATTCTTTTACCAATTTGGTCTAGAGATTTGATCGTAAGAGTCCCTAGTAGGTTCTATAGAGAGGGCATAGTGGTTAATCTGGAAGTGAGAGCCCAGAATCTATTTAACACTACCACACAAGTTGTTGATAGTCTCTAGATTAGTTAATGTTCTTTGCTAGCACCATGAGGGGGTAAATAATGAGTATATTTCTATTTGTCACTGACAACATTATATTCTAAGCATTTCATTCCTACACATTATATAGGTCATTGCACGAGAAAGGTAGTTTTTAACATCTCAAAATTCTCCAAACCAATTTTTCTAGAAAAGTTATCTTTATATTCAGAAAAGTTATCATTATATTTAAGATTTTCATTTAAAAGTAGTTGTTAGAAAAATCACTTTAATAGACATTCCAAACTAAGGACTAATAATAGTAGGCTAAAATTAGCCTAAGGGATTTCTTACCACGCTTCTTTATGAGATCGATACTGGGGTCTTAAAAGAAAAATCTATATTATTGGACGAACCAATTCAAGCCACTTTTCTGCCCAATGTGATGAATGCAACATGCTGGCTCAATCAAAGTCATTTGACTAGTAACATGTTGCTCGTCATTTGCCTAAGAGAGAGCCAAAGTTTAACAGGATGACTCTGGCTATGTGCCCCTCAACACACGCCGAAAAGTCTCAAATAGATGTATTACACTACGACAATCAACACATGCATCAAGCAAGGTTTCGTAGAGCTCGAGCGACATCCCACACTTGCGATATCAAAAATTGATGCCAACATGGTGTAATTTTCATGTTAAACCTGTTGAGTTGTGATTTACTTGCTACTGCATACTTGCATTTTCTAATTATACCTATAGATTTTTATGATAGACACATTTGATAGAACATATTTCATTGTTATTTTCTCCTTTCTTATATGCATGTTTACATTGCTATATATGCTAAAATTAAGTTTAGGAGGGGAGAAAATTTTTTAAAAGCTTACATTTATTTGTCCTCAGTTATGCACATTTCAAACTGTTATGTTTTAAAAAGAATTGAGGTATGTGGTGTTACTTTAAAATTATTGCAATTTTGAGAGAAGAAGAACATAATATCTTTATTTTAAATTCTATATAAATGAGGCTAGGATAGTGTAAGGTTAACTTGGAGTTTAATATGTAGAAAATGGTTTCACTATTTATTTTTGCAAAGAGTTACATAATTGTTTAACAAGGTATACTTAGATATATACTTCATAAGAACTAAGCCTCTATTCAAGTAGTAGTTTTAACTATTACATATTAAAGTAATGGAGTGTGATAGGCATCACTTTAAGAAGTTGATAATGGAATTCAAAACAATTAAAGGCCTATCTAGATATAGCAATCCCACTATATCTAGATATAGCAATCCCACTAAAAATAATGCTAAGGATTGAAATATACATCCTAAAGTAACAAAAATGGTGATTAGAAGAAAAATATTGAGTTGGGAGAAACTTAAGAAGAAGCCTAATCAAAAATTAATTTCAATAGATTCTTTTTAAAGTTTAAGCATTATTACGTTCCTAAGCTTATGTGTAATAGAAGTGTATTTGTAATTTTTTTTAAAATGGAGTACTTAAATTTTTTTTTACCATTTAAGATATTTTATTTAACATTTATTAACTGCTTTGTGAAATGAATACAAAATTAAGTTTTTCTAGTTAAATGAAAAGTTTATTTTTACCCTATGGCTAGACTTGTTTGCTAGAGTTAATTTAAATTTATATTATGAGTTTTCTTGAGGTAAAATTGTTGATAATTTTAATTAGACCCACTTCCTAAAATTGACAGATTTAATTTTAAAATTCTAATGTTACTTAAGGTCAAGTAACATTTAAGTTTGGGGGATTTTGATGTGTACAAAAGCATGCTTAATTTCCTTTATATTTTGCACATTTTTATGGATGAAATTAAACAAAAGTATTTTTATTTTTTCTCGCAGGCATAAGAGGTAGTAAAAGTGGAGCGAAGTGGAGAAGAAATGGAGCGAAGCGGAGGTGACATAGAGTAAATTAGAACTCAAGGGAATGGGGTCTAAGCACCAGTTATTAGGCGCCAAGGCGCTCCTACCAAACGCCTTGGCGCCATCTACTTGGGTGCCTAGGCGCTAGTGCTTACCCGACCACATAAAGAGGCTGGCGCCTACGTGCCAACAACTGTTGGGCAGTTTTCTATAGTTTTTCCTTTATAACATTGGGAGTAATGGAGATTTTATAGGGGGTTCCTTGGAGGATGTTGAGTACTTTTGAACAATTAGGAAGTCCATGTAAGTTCTAGAGTCAGAGTCTTGTAGTAGGAGAAGATAGTTTGCATTTTATTGAGAGTTCGGTGAGGAATTTGAGTGATATTGTAAGAATGATATTCAACAATGCAGCAAGGATTGAGAGAACCTTTGGAGAGGAATTTCCAACACATTGTAAATAGAATAAACTAAATATTGTGTATTCTTTTGTATTGTATTTTTCTGTAAACATAAATCTAGTAGATTTTCTTTGTTTCAAAGTTATTTTGTGGTAAAGTTTCCTGGCTTTGTAAGTAGTTCTTTTAACCATTCCCCTTGTGATGAATAAGTAGGAAGTGTAGGAATGTTAGAACGCAATATAAACTGGTTTTTACTTTTAATGTGAGGAGTATTGTTCAAAGTTTCATTTACTTTTCGTTCTATCTAGGTGATTAGTTAACACATGTGATCTATGACGACTCGGGAGAGCAATAGAAGAACGATTAGAATATTAACATCGAACTATAGGGTATGAAGTAAAAGTAAACTATTTGGAGATGCAAAGGGACAAGAAAATAATCTTTGATGAGTTCAAATTGGGGTTTAAGGAATTAAGACCAGTTTAACCAAACTTCTTTATGCACTCAGGAGAAGGTAAAGAAGAGAGTTGCTCCTATTTATCACTAGTCACAGTTACAATTTAAAGTATTTAGTTTCTTACACATTACTTTTATCATTGCAAGGGAGGGTAACTTTATATCTTGACTTTTCACCGATTAAGATGTATTTAGTAGGCAGTAAACTTTCAATAATAGTTTGTTGGAATTCAATAGGACTAGTTAGAACAAGTTAAACCTTCCAAGCTAAGACCGATTTTAGTAGGCTAGAATTTATCTTAAGTTTAATCACGTCACTCCCTGTGGAATCGATATTCTGGACTCCAAAAATTTGATATTACTTGTACGACTTGTATAATTGCATGAGACCTCTGCACTTAGAATTAGGGTGTACCAAAGTTTTAGGAACCGCTACAGGTCGGGTACCAGATTTCATACAATATTGAAATGTTAAATTATTACTCTACTACTATAATTTTTGTTTTCTGGAACACAACAATTAACATTAATTATCATGGAGTTTTTTTTTTTATTATTAGCACTCAAATCTCTAATATCAGCCAAAAAATGCAACTATTATTTATGTTTTAGGAGCAAGAAACTCATTTGATGCATAGATTATTGACGTCAAAGAGTTATGAATATAAATAAAAGTTAAGGGTTATATATGTAAATACAAGGATTAATTGGTATGTATGAAATCTTAATAAAATATGGGGTATTTACCGACATAGCACACAATTTTTATGAATTTATATATTAATCATCTAAACTTCAATTTTTACATTTCTAACAATTAAATCTTTGAGATTATAACAACAATAACATTATTACCAACTAAGGGTCTGTTCGGTACAGTTGCATTGCTGTTAAACTGCTGATTCAGATGAACTGCTGATCAATAGCTAATCCGGATAAGCTGACTGTCTATTTGGTTTGTACGTTTGATAACATCTGATTTAGAGTTGTTTCTGGATAAATGATCATTCTGCCTCTGTGTAGTAATATTGTTTGCAACAAAATTGTCATAGCAATATATTTGATACTTAAGAAACAAAAAACTATTCATAACAGTAAAAAAAGATAAGATACAGACATCACTTAACAATGAGTATCAAAAATCATTAAAAATAGAAAAAAATATTAAAATTAAAATAATAATATTAATATTAATATTAATTTTAGAATCAGACAAGCACACATTGTTTACGAGCAATTTTGAACATGAACCAATTCAAATATAATTAACTTTGAATGAACCGAACACGAGTCTAAAAAAATCACTGGAAGGGGAAATGTAAGATAATCAAGAAGATAATAAATGAGCCGAGATGAAAAAGAAGATAATAAAAAATAGTATTTAAATGCGAGGATAATCAAGAATGGGGGCACATGAGGGTTTGTGCATGAGTGGTTGCACCAAAAAGTACATTGTAGATCTCGACAACCTTTTCTTCCAGCTTGGGCTGCTCCAATTGTGTTAATGTAAGTGTTATCGACTGATGATCGCTATCAGAGTGAGGAGGAGAAAAAGTAGGAGACGACTATGCAAAGGATGCGGCAGAGGACGAGTCGATATGAGAAGACTCCATGGATATTGATTTTGAGACAACAAACAGACCCTTGGATCTTTTTTTCTCCTTGTCGTGGCCTGCAGAGCTGAAGGTGCGGAGAGGCGGACATGAATAGTGTGGAGGTTTTTAGGTGAAGACAGCGCAACAACGATGACACAAAGGTAAGTTTTAACTTCAAATACAGGCTGCCCGCAGCCGGCGTTTAATACAAATTAAAATATGTTTATCGCAATACATAGCCTGAACGTAGAAACCAAACACACAAGCTGTATTTTCAAAACACGCAAGCTCTAAATAAGCTTCGCCAAACTACCCCTAAGTGATGCACCTTTTGAGAATAGTTTAAATGGCATTTATGTAATTTATCAAGGTTTAGGTGTTGGATATGCAAATAGAAAGAAGTTGTGTGACAAGTGAGTATGTATATCTTCCAAACTTTATGCTACCTAGTTTTGCGTGAATATAATTCTTACAGTAAACACTCTTCTCCGTTTTTCCTCTTCCTGCCTTCCGTGATTCCATCTACTCCGCGACGATCACCCTCCATGGAGGGACCGACACTATCACTCTCCATCGAAAGCGGACCAAGGAAGGGGTTAACCCTAGAATGCATGCCCGGAGACCAAATTCACATTGGCCGAGTCTTTCGAGTTAACGCCCTTACCATTAGGGATCCAGCCATCTCCCAGTAGCATCTTGCCGTCCAATTCCTCTCGGAAGTCAATAGCTGGGCCGTCGCAGACCTCGGCTCCTCCAATGGCTCCTACGTCAACGGCACTCTCGTATCCTCGTCGGCGGAGATATCATCCGGATAGGCGAGAAAACGAGCATTGTAGTCCATGTTTCCGCTCATCTAGCCGAGCCACCACCGTTTATCGCCGTTGGAGGAGAAGGTGAATGAGCCGCATAAAATTGGAGGGGGAGGGAGGGCGGGTGGAAGAAAGAGGAATAACGAGAACCTCCAGCCGGTGCTGATGGAACCGAGTATGGGGAGGGGGACGAAAGCATCAGCTAGGGCTAGGTCTACCGGGGTTTCTGAGATGAAGGTGTTGGAGGATAGGGCTATTGTAATTTCCGATTCAGAGTCTGTAGAAGGGGCTGAGAAAAAGAAGCCACGCAAACAGAGCAGTGCTGGTGCTGAGGCAGAGAAGCCATCCGTGGGTGGAGAAGCACGGGATGAAGATGTGGAGGATTATATGGATAACATCACTACGACTGAATGGTTTGATAGGATGGAGGAGTATTTACCCAAGATAATAAATAGGGTTGCTGAGAGGATTATAGCAAAGTTGAGAGATAAAGCATGTCTATTTGATGAATATATCGTTCAGACTTCAACTTCTATATATGAGCAGGTATGTGGAATTTGTTCTTATTCATAAATTTAAATGATTCTTTCTCCTGAATTCTTGGAGAAACCAAGTTCAATTTGATTACTATGGAATTGTGAATGGCTAATGGTGTTGATTATATGACAGGAAACTTTTTAATGAAAACTTCTTACCGGTAACTCCTCCCTAATTTTGATTTCTGGAGGTCGCCCAGAATGCATCATTTCTAAAATAACCCCCCTTGAATTATGAGATTGTTTGGGATAGCTTTCTGCCTGGGTGGTGTTTAAGACTATCAACACAGCTTTGTTTAAGGAGCCTTTTTTCGCTATGTTTTAGAAATTCTGCAGTGAGAAGCAACTTTTCGCAATTATATCAGTTAAGGTGTGGTGATTGTAAGAAAACTATTCTCTGGCTTCAAAAAAAACATTCATAATTCTTACTACAACCTTTTTAAAAGTTGATTTCCTCACCATAACTTTACAATCGAGTTTATGAAATATTACAGCAGCCCCAAATGACCCAACGTGTTTGCCTAGGACAGTTTTTTCATCAAATAATAGAGAAATATTTTTCTTGAAATGCATGGAATTAACTTTTTTGCTTGTTGTAGACAAACTATGAGTTATTGAATTCATCCAACATTTTCAAAAGCTAAGGATCACTCAATGTATACGGTTGCTCAATGCTTGAGATATTAGGTGCGACCATTAATACTCACCTGATGCAAAGAGGATTTATACTTGTTGAAAAAACTAATCGTAGAAGAAGACCTAAAAGGTTCCCAAGGAAAATTTGGTTTCCAATTTATAAGGATTTTGAACGAAGGATTTATAATTTGTATCTTATGAATTTATAGAATCTTTTAATTAGGTTTCCTTTTTTAGTTATTTATTTTTTTTACAGATTTGTAGCATCCTTGAAAAGAAGCTTTTTTTTCTTTTTCCTGTTTTATTTGTTACTTAGTTTTATTCCTTAAGATCCTTGTAAGTCTATTTAAGCTCCCATTTTCACATACATAAATTTATAAACCAGTATATTTGAAATTTTGTCATTTTCACATATATAAATTTATTTCAAAATGAAATCAATTTATTACATGTTTCACATGTTTAATGTGATTTTAAGACCTTTATTTTCATATTTAATGTGATTTATTCAATAATTTTCTTTTTGGCATTAACTCAACTCTCTCTCTCCTAAAACCCTATATGCCAATCCAAAACTTTTACAGCTCATGTTAATGTTTCTCCCTTTCCTTGATGTCCTCATAGCAATCTTGTTTTCCTCTTACCAATTGATTTCCTTTGTTTTTGTGTAATCTATTTGGAATTAGATGAATGTGTTATATGTGCTTTCCATCCTGGGTTTGATGAAGTAGAGTATTTTGAAAGACAGCTGCTATGGTGGTGGGAAGAAATTATAGTATGAGAAATGATTTATTAGATTTTTTTTTTAATATAAATTAAATTTGTTATTAGACATTAAAATTTTAAACTTGTCTTGCTTTGCTAGTTTTTTTTTATTCTTTTGAAGATCCACTTAAATCAATAGTTCAAGAAGGGAGCTGTAATGAGAGGTGGAAGTTTCTCATCTGTGTATTTTAAATTTACTTGTAAAATCCTGTTTTTACTTCTTTTTAATTTTTCTAATCCCATGATTATTCTTTCAGAGATGATATCCAACAAGAGGCTTTCATGACACATGAGCAAAGAAGCAGATTGCTCATTCATAAAGGTCACTAGGCCAATACTTCATTTCCAAGGAGGCAAGGCATAAACATGGCATGGCCTTTATTTGAGAACATAAAATCTGTTTTTCGTACTTGAATTTTTCAAACTTACAATTTCAATCTGATCAATCTTATTGTTTCTGTTATGCTCCAGTTTGAAAGCAATAAAATGATTTATTCCTATAGTAAAATCTCTTTGGGAAGTTAGTGTTTATCTTTGTACGTGTTTTACTATAACTGGCATCTAGTTAATTTTCACTTGCAATTATGTGCAATTTATGTCAGTTCAACTTGGATTTATGGGTTTCTTTTTTCTTTTTTTCTTTCAGTCACAGACATACTGTTATATCTTAGGTTTTGTACTCAAGACCTGATTACAGATTTTGTTTTTTTGTTTTTTTTTTCTTCATTGTCATTACAAAATCCTTCATTGTCATCACAGCATCGCTTTATAAGGCTCAACTTAATCATCACATGCTGTATTTTGCTAATCATTGATGCAACTAAAAGAATTACAGTTTTCTAACTGCAGAAAACAATACTATGGTGTTAAACATGGTGGTGACCTGCATTCGATTTTATCTGACCTTGAAGCACCCAGTTCTTATGTATTTGTATATTTAACACCTGAACTTGTTATGATTATACCACCCAAATTTTTTTATCACATGAAAATATCACCACTTTTACTTTAAAAAGTGAAATATATCTTTTTCATGCATAAATAGAAGCATATAATATGTAAAAATTGATGTTTGGGGGCAAAATATGCAAATAAATAAAAATTGAGTGGTATTGCACATTGAGAATGTATCAGTCAACATGAATCTCGATGAGATCGAACTGGGTGAAGACACATTCGACCACTGACAAAAGATGACTCATTTGACCAGATAGAACCTCTCAAATAGAGGTTGAAGGCCGACAGGGTGAAGACACACCAAACTAAAGATTAAGGCTAATCATATTGAGCAAATGCATCAAACTGTCTGTTATCGCAATATGACTCAGAGAAATATATCAAGGTCCCCAACAATCTCATAGATGCCCTTGAGGTACCTTATGAGGGGCCAAGAATCGGCAATAACATTAGGTCATGAATATATCGAAGGAACTCTTTTTGTCAATGAATAAGTTATCTATCAGATTACGATAATTCACCCTCTATATGATAGCCTAGTTTCATTCTACTAATAGGAGCACCTCATCCAATAATAAATAGTCGACATTCAGGCTTGAACAATCGATTGACAAAGTCAAGTCAATTGAGCCAATCTTGCCGACCTGAAGACCATCAAAAACTGACCGACAAACCCAAGCAGCACAATCAAAAGAGCAGGCCTTACCGAACCAAGGTCCACTGAGTTGAGTCGATTGAGTAGATGGTAACCGAAACATAAACTCATTCATATAAAATACCTAAAATATCTTATAATGTGCCCATCAAAGCAAGTGCAAATATGTAACTTCACATACTGCACCTCTCCCCACTATAAATAGAGGGGTCAGTTTTTTAGCAAGGGCTAATTAATAATATTATTTACTATTCATTGTTATGCATCTCTCTCTCTCTCTCATGTCTTATGCTCTATTCATTTGGTGTGATTCACTGACATATTAGAATTCAATATCCTAAAACATACAATGAGGGTGGATCATGCCACAAAAAGAAGAGAAGCAATACAACAAGAAGAAAACCACAATTAACATGAAGCGCATCAGGGAGTTTGTGTAACAGCAAATACAAGAGCTAAATGATCAGATGATGGATGCTCTCTGAGAGGCATTGGCTTTTAGAAGAAAGTAGAATCCCCGAAAAGAAGAGCTAGCACCTAAAGGTCAAAGGGCACCCTTTCTCCTGGAAAGCAAAAAAAAAAAAATCCATCCTACTACTTCGATTGTGCTGATGCTGAGTCGGTGTCGATAAATTGATTGTGGTTCAGATGCACTGAGGCACCTCGTGAGCCAAAGAATGTGTTCTCTCAGCAGATCTCTAAGGCCAAGCTCCCATAAAAGTTCAAAATCTTTGTATTGGAATCTTACAAGGGTTTGACTAATCCTACCGACCACATCACTTCCTGTGACTCGATTGTATGCTTGTTGAGGATCATCAACACACTAAAGTGTCTCCTTTTTTCACCATGTTGAGGGAGTCGGCTCTCAAGTGGTTCAAAGGATTGCCACTAGGGATGATCACCTCAATTTTTTACTTCAACAGGTTGTTTGTGGCGCAGTTTGAGAGCACCCAGAAGCCCCAAAAGAACTTACAAGCCTTTTTGCTGATCAGGCAGGGGTAGAACAAGAGCCTTTGCTCTTTCATCACTCGGTTCTAGAAAAAATATTATAAGTAAACACACATTAGCACATGCCGCCCTAGCCCAAGGATTGATGAAAGGCTCATTTAAGTACTCTCTAGGTCTGCAGCGATCAAAGACCATATGTCGAATTGTTGGAGTTAGTTAACAACCACATAACGGTTGAGGAGCATAACTCCATCCCTATGTTAGCTAAAACAAAACCTTCCACCATTCTCCTCTAGAAAATAATCCCTTAGGGACAATATGTGGAGAGTGGGCTATGACTCACCACTCTCCGCTCACCCACGCTATGAAGACATTAAGTTGCCTAGAGATCACAGGAGGGCCGACGGATCCTACAACAAAGGAGGTTAAGCTCAATATTCTGACCAGCAGCCAGCTTGCTACAACAAGCGCCCGCTGCCCCAAATTATCCAAAATGACTTTATTGAGAGTCTCGATGGTCGAGATAGTCAAAGTCATTTAAAATAATGAGTACCTCAAGAAAGCGCCACCAATCAAAACCGTAGCATTCCTCGGGGATCCAAAAAAGTATTGCGCGCATCACTAGGACCATGGACATGATATAGAGGAATGTCGAAACATTCAGAGCTTGGTCGAGGGGTTGATAGAGCTGAAAAGCTCATGGAGTTTGTAGCTCTAGGAGCACCAATCCAAAGGCAGGTTAAAGCTCCAATAGAAAGAGATTCAGATGAACTAGTCCGAGCGCACACAATTCACATTGTGGGCGTAGTCGCAATCATCTTTGGAGGAGGTGGAGAATCATCTCGTTGAGCTAGCCCGAAGAGGCTTCGGTTGATTGAATTATGTGTGGATGCCTTTGCACTAAAATGTGATTTGCCTGCCAAGTGGAATTCTTTCAATAACATCACAGTAATTATTTTCTTAATAATCAATTACTAGAGTGACAGTATTCTTTTCGACACTGGGAGCTTCATCAACATCTTATTCTAGCTAGTGTTCAACAAGATGGGTCTGGGAAGCAATCAATCGACTGTCATTGTCGACTTGATCTATGGCTTCTATGGCGAGAGAAAAGAAGCTTCAGAAATCCTTGTCTTGCCGATCACTTGGGGGGAGAATGACAAACTGTTCACCAACATGGAGAATTTTTTAATGGTTGAGTCACCGCCAACCTATAATGCCATCTTCGGCTGGCTCCTTTTCAATAATATCAAGGTTGTTAGTTCAACCTACCATGTGGAGATAAAATTCAATATCTTGGGAAACCTCGAGCAGGCACGAACATGCTGCCTCCGAGTTGTTGGAAGTGTGGACCAGGAGCAGCTTGATCTAGAAAATCTTGCTGAGTTGCAGGAAGTGAATGATGATGATGTAGTACTCGTTGCTCGACCTTGCAGAGGAAAAGAAAGCATATTCGACTCTAAGCTAGAAAAAAGTAAAGAGGAGAAAAACTCAGTATTACAACAGACATGTTCGAGAGAAGACCTTTATCCCCGGAGATCTTGTGTTGAAGAAGGTTAGCCCATCTGCATGAGAACAAATAGTCAAAAATTCAACCAACGAGTCGCCCTTGGAGCATACAAACTGAAGACCTACATAGAGAAAGGATTCCTTAGGATATAGAGCGGAGATGACTTGAATTAATTTCTTTCCTTAGAAAAATGTTTGTATCATCTTTAGTAAAAACTAAAGGTATTTTCATTATAATTCTTGTATTCTATTAAGTGCACAAAGAAATGTCAAAGAAATGTTCGACTAACTATATGTGTAATCTCAAATTCAAACGACACTCAAGAAACTTGAAGGGTTCACGCAAAGTATCATCAATATCTAACAAACACTTGAGGAACTCAAACCTGAGCAATAAAACTAATTGCAATGCATAACATTTAATCGGTAAATATTAATAGAAAACTGACAATGATGTAAGACGTTTGATTGGTAAGGCCCATTTGAAAATGACCAACAATGATGATTAAATTTCAATCGGCATCATTCGCAAAAATATACCCTCAATGCTTAAACATCGACAAAAACATGTCTCCTAATTAGGCCAAGGTCAAACTTTGGAGGTGGTTCCCTACCCATTAGCGACAAGATCCACAGTGGGTGCCGAGTAAATCATCTCAACAACAAGTCTCAAATGTTACCCCGTGAAGGTGATGACGAAATCCACTTAATATGCCTGGTGAAAGATATGGCTCGTCCAAGATGATGAACCAATCGAGAAATGGGGACATAGGCGGGATATGACTAGCCAAGTTGTATCACATCAAAAGCGACCAAACATCTTTCCTAAAATTTGAGCTGTTAACCACCACAAACATTCATCACAAGTTGAAAATGTTGTTAAGGTAAAAAACATAAGGTAAAGGTAAAATTCAACCAAAAACTTCCTTTCATTTCATGAATAAAGTCTTATGTGATTTTACTTCCCTTTATTGAATCATAAGAAAATAAGTGAAATCACATATTAAAAATATACTTCTTCCTATACTGATTAAGAAGACAAGGGCACTGTGGACGATAAAGTCTTATGTGATTTACAAACAAACAAAAGAAAAAAAATTTTGAGTATAGAAGAGTCATGTCCGAGTTAAGCATTAAAGGATTCTCTATCGGCCACAGTGCTCTTGTCTTCTTAACCAGTATAGGAAGAAGATTGGTAAATTCTTTCACATTTGATCACTTGGGACCGACAAGCTTCGTACACACTAATTGGTCAATCACCAACCTGTTCCTGAGTTAGAGGTGCTTAACCTGACCAATAAAAAATTTTTTCGTTCGTCTTCATCATTGCGAACTTATCCTTAGGTGTTTTATTCTCCTCTTTTATGACACAACAACTCTAACGTGCAACGTACCTCCGTTCTG